GTTCTTGCAAAGTTGTTTGCTGATGGAAGTGGTATAGGCAAGAAAAAGCAGGAGCTTTTGAAAAGTGTTTATTGAGAAAGTTTATACTGCACATTTCTCGCAGTGCTGGAGGCAACTTTCTTCTATTGTTATAAAATTTGTGAAGGTTACCATATGCTAATTTTTTCTACACTTCATAAAACTTTTAATCATAGATGTCCTGAGCCAACAGCCACTCCATTAGGTGTACACATACACAGAAGTAAGTGTGCAGCTTATACAGGTAAAATGACTATGACTAAATGTGTATGTCTGAGTATGTCTATGTATGTATTTAATTCAGATTTCGGTGTCCTGTTTAATGCTTCTAAAAACGGATCACAGCTCCTTAAGGATTCTCTGCTGCCGCATGGCATCGTAAACAAAACAGCTCTGGAGTTCAGCATAGCGCTGACATTTTGGTTATAATGCCAATAAACAAGAAACCCCCCGTGGCATGTTGACTGACTTGTTTTCCTCACCTAAGCCGTGAGGAACTGTAGAGTGCTTACAGCGTTACTGTGTTGCTTTCTCCACCTTACTAATTAAAATAAGGATTTTTAGCTAGGTTAAACATTTTGGGGTTTGCCACCATAAACTACATTGCACACTTTTGCTCTACATCTTGTTAAGTTTTTTTCTTTAGCTCAATTGCTGGAGACAGGAGCTAACATAAATGAAATTCACTCTGAATCACAGGGTTTGGGATTTTTTGTGCGTAGGTCTTTTTTAATAATTTGTGTGATAGAAAGCTTTTGGTGCACAATAGAATTTTTGCCGGTCTGGTGGAGAAGGCTGTTGGTGTGTTGCTAAGCCAGGTAAATTTTTTGAATTATCTGCTTGGAAAGACAAGCTGATAAAAACGAGGACTTCATGGCCTGTTTCTGCTGTGAATACATCTTCATTAAATGTTCGGTCATCCATCGTCTCTGGCTCACGATGATACCCTGGGCTAACTAACAAGATGGGTTATTTCAGGAGTTTCCTAGTGGAAACTCCAGGGGAGGGAGAAGATGATATAAAATGGGGTATCATCTTTAGAGCTAATACGAGGTGCATTGGTCTATCCTAGCATTGCTGACTGCCTCCCACTCCTTGTCAAAGCAGTGAAACGCCTTGGTGTCATTTTGTGAATGTGTCTCATGGGGCTGATGGTCCCTCGGGCAGGGAATGACGAGCAAATTGGGCTGTGCTGGTCAGCAGCAATAGCTTTTTTGAAGTAGAGTTGTGCTGGCCAAAGTGACTCTTCCTGCTGTGGAACACCCGTGACCTCCCACTCCTGCAGAATCCATTGAAATTTCCCAAAGACCTGCCAGTCCTCTGCAGAAGAAAATTATTTTTTTCTCAGTTCACTGTAGAGCAGTCAGGCCAGGAGAACTCCGGATTCTGGCAGAGATGGCAGAGTGTTAAATTTAGGGGAAAGCAACAATCCACCCGCCCCCCACCCCCACTGAATTAATAGGTGAGAGACTTAGGGATGCAGAAACATATTGTCATGGCCCAGCCTAAAGGCAGATCTGTGGGCTCCTTGGAACTCTCCTGGAAAACAAATCTAAGGCAGGAAGGGCTGTTCTAAAATTAATGTGGAGTTTTATTTACACAATTTTCACAGCAGGTATTCACAGAGGCGCTGAAATTCTCTTTGGAATGCCTGAAATTTGACTGTAACCCTCAATCTGAGTTTCCCAGTATACCCTACACAGAGAAAATGAATGTGCCCTCATCTCTCCTCTATTGGCCTGGGTTAGTTTATGCCATAAACCAATCAAACTGGTAATCAAAATTATGGGCTCAGTCCTCCAAACACCCGATGAATTCCATGGGGATTTTGCCATGGGAAGGATTACATTAAAAGCTTTGATACTAGCCTAGACCTGTTCTGAAGACATGTACATTACTTTTACTGGTGAAGGCTAAACAGCGTGGAGTTAAAGAGAGATTTGATGCATCTTCCTTCACTCCCTCTAGAAGGAATGTTTGTGACTTTAAGTCGTTTCATCTGAAGAACATGTAACTCTGGCAAGATGTATGTTGTGGTTGCAGCCTGGCTCAAGGATGAAGGGGAGTGTGAGGGGAGGCTGTTTGGGACAAGTCAGAGAAACACATCATATACATGTTATAATGGATTAACTTATTCCTGCCCAGTGGGTGTAGGATTTCAGGTAACTTTTTCTTCATCATCATCTGTGTAACCACCAATAGAAATAAATGGAGTTCACCAACTTCTGCTTTGGGCTAAATAGCGTTAACTGACTTCTAATAGGCACCAAACAGAGCAGCTTACCATCTTGTTTCTGATTACTGCTATACCACTGATCATTACTGCTCACATGATTTTCTTGTCAGTATCAGGATACCTTCTCTCCACCCAGCCCCACTGGGTTCTAAGATGTTTTAAGGAATGCACATGTATTTTACCTGTTTTCAAAAAAAATGCAATATAGATCCATCTTCTGGGCATATTAATTTATGTAGTACAACTGAAAGTTACTTTGAATACAACTCACACATCAGACAACCCTACAGGTCTTTTTACTTGTTCAATGCTGTATCTGAAAACTGGCTATTTACAAGATCTCTGTATGTAATACACATTGCACAGCTCGTCAGTCCTTTAAATACAGCTAGAGCATTGTAGATGCCAAAATTTTTCTTTATTATTTTGTCCTGTTTTTTTCTTTTCCAGACATTCCTGATTTCTTATGTGTAGAGATAAAAGTAACTGCTGGAAGCAATACAATTTTGGTGGTAGTAACTCACGTACCTTGTGACTGACTTAGATTTATGCTGGTGGTTGTTGTTTTAAAAAATAATTGAAATTAATTGTTTTTTTTCTTTTTTTTCTGCGTCCTGGGGTGAAATGTCAGAAATTACAGAAATGCCAACTTGTGATATATAAACTTTTGCTGATGAGGATTTTCTTTTAACATTTTGCTGACATATGGTGCTTCTAACCCAGTGACAAATTAATTGACTAGATGTAAAAGAGATGGACAGCGCTTGGTGGGGAAGGACGGGATATGCATTACAAGACAGCTGGTTCTCCCTCTGTTGGATTATGGAGACAATATACATCGGACAGCTAACGAGTCTCTGTTGCATAAGATAGATTCTCCTTATAATAGAATTGCATGCTTTGTCTCTAAATGGGGTTATTATACACACCATTGCACAATGTTTGAAGAGCTTGGTTGGCCCTTGTAGAGGGTTAGGAGAGAAATAAATTGGAAAACAATTGCACATAAGACCTTCAATCCATCAACTGCTCCATATTTATCCAAATTACCATTACACTCTTCTAAAATACAAATCTGTGATACATTCAGGGGTGGAATGTTAATAGTGACCGGCCAGATTTTGACAAGGCAGATTTTTCTTTTGCTGTTGTTTTTAACTTGCAGTAAAATCTTGCTTCCTCAGGAATAAAATGTGATAGTGGAAACCACTTGTAGTGACATAATGACTCTCTACTGAGAATGAATTCTCAATTTAATTTTTGCCATTGCGCAAACTTCAGTCTGAGTCTCAGGAGGTTTTGATTTTTCCAGAGATAAACTGTGAACAACTTCATTTATAAGGAACACTTCCTCAGTAATATTCAGAGTTTAAGGGCAATAGTTTATGATTTGAAGTGTTTCCATTTTTGGATCCCAACTTGTGACCATTATAGTGCATGGTTTTCAGAAAATGCTGAGGTCTAAAAAGTCCAGATTCCTTATGCTCTTGAGACTGGACACCTAGAATTTTAATCTTCAAAATAACTAGCCACTTTTGAAAATCCTGGCTTAACTACTGAGCAAGGCCAGATGTATCAATTCAAGGTGATGTGATGGTACCATTTCCCACATTGATGGAAGAATTCTGTGGTAAGATTTGTAGACAGAGCTTATAAAAATACAGAAAAACTGGGTTTTGTCAGCCAGTGTAAATAATCACCTATCTTACCTCCTACTTGGCATTTTTGTGTTCTTCAGTTAAATCTTTTGTCTGCTAGTCTGACTTCCAGTCAAATAACCCTCTTTTTAAATTTAATCTTACCAGGTACCAGACAAGAATGGGATCTTGCTAAATAATCTTAAATAATAACAATCTTAGACTGACAGAGTAGATAATAAACATATTGTAATGTGCAAAGATATGAAGGTGGCTTTGTTTAGTGCTTTATTCTTCAGTCTAAATACAAATACATCCTCAAAATGCAGTAGAAAACAACCTTTCAGTACAGAAAGCTGTAAGTGCGTTCATGGTGTGGCTTCTGTTCAACCATGGCTATCTCCAACTCCCAAGTACACTGTTCTAACATGAAGGAAAAAGAGACCCATGACAAAAAGAAATTACTTGGTGGTAATTGTGCTAGTCATAGTTGTTGCTGTTTATACTTTCTTTCCCTTTCCCAGTGCCCTTGCAGTTAAATTGAAAGGTTTTATATGTATGTGTGTGTGTGTGTGTGTGTGTATGTGTATGTGTGTGTGTGTGTGTGTGTGTGTGTGTGTGTATGTACTTGTGCTTCACAAGATTTTCTTTAGGAGAAGTTATTCTTTTGTACAGTCCTTTCCTGACATTTCTATAGCCTGCTCACATCCTGTTTGGTGAAGCTATATTCCTTAATGCAAGGCAATGTGGCTCATAAGAAAAGTCGCAATAAGCTCAGTTACTAGTAATTAATTTCCCACCCTTGGATACTTTTCCAGTGACTGATTTATGTTCTCTGTGGTAGAGCATGCTCACTGATGACAGTGTTTTAGAGAATTTAATTTGTGGTTTGAGGTAGCTGGATGTTTCTCTTAATGAGCTCTCCCACTGCTATCACAACAACTTTAAATACCTTATGGCTAGTGAGGAAAGGCTGACACACAGGCAGATTTGTTTCTGCAAATATCTTCCTGATTGAGCTGCGTTTTTCAGTGAGGTTGATTTCGTCACAGGTTGTGCCGCTACTATATTAGTTTTATAAGAGCTCTTCCTCTTGTCTTTTTTCTTAGGAAAAGGAGAAGCTGTATGTGGAATTGAAGCACATCTTGGCCCGGCAGCCTGGTCCTGAAGTTGCAGAACAGTTGCGGCTCTACCAGCACACTCTGCGAGAGAAGACTAAGCAGCTGAAAGTAAGAGATGCCCTTTATCTCTGGCTGAGGGGCTGCCAGGATTGCAGAATGACTTCACCAGTGATCCTGGGGACCAAGGCTTCTGGGAGATTTCTGATAATCAGTGTGCATTATCCTTAGCTTTAGTATATTAGATCAGGAAAATAAGATTAATATTGCATCTCCCCAAGAGAGAACCAATGGCAGTAGAAGAGCTTTTTTCACATTATGCTAGTTTGCTTCATTAAAACAGAGGAGAAGTCTTATTAGAATATGAGTGTGCAGTACAATGCTGTAAATGCTTTTTGTGCATAGGCATTGTGGGACACCATCAGTTTTCCATTATTAAGTTTATTCTTCTTCCCTTTTCTTGAACTGATATGATCTTTAATAAGCAAATGAAAGCTATTTCATTTTCTTTTTAACAAACTAGTGGGAATATATTGAGAATCCAGTCTTAAATTCTTGTTATTTCTCTTGCAATGCTTACATGTCTATTAGACTTGCAATTTTTATAGGGATGACAGGAGTAACCTGTCCTAACCCCTTGTCACTAGAGGGAAGGATTTCCTGGTTCTGAAGGAATCTCGTGGGAAACTTTGAAAGCATGCTATTAAAAAGTGATTCTTTGATAGAATAAGCTGATCTTCCCGTGTTCTTGCCTGCATGAAAGATCAGTCTCCCCAGGAGTTCATCTACTTCTGCAGCTTCTCACTCTGTTAAAGTCATAATCTCCTGTTCACTGCATCGCGATCATGTCTATACTAACCACGAGGAAAAAAACGCAGGAGCAGATGGGCCCTTAGGAAACAAAGAGGCTGTTATGCAAATCTTAGCTTTCCATGGAGAAGAAAAACAATGTAGAAATGTAAAATAGAAGCCAAAGTTTAGCTTAACTGAATGTGATCTGAAGTTTTCCATATGGTTCCCATTTGTCCTTAACACAGTCAGTTGCTGAGTATTTCAGGCGCAGTATGCTGTAGAGTGCTGGCTTGCATGCCATTTTGTGGTACTAGGTCAAGCCATTCTCCTTCTTAAAGAAGGAAACCACATCATGCATGCTTCTACTTTTTTAAAGTTCACTGATTCACATGAAATCAGCATTCAATTCATATTTACACTGGGTGGTACTACTTTGCCTGTGTGGATTTAATTACTTCATGTAACAAACCAGATCCCTGTGAATAAAACCCATTATTATTAAATAAATACCTGCTTTATTATTTTTAAGACCTTCATTTTGAGTTTTCACCCAGACTTGTGTCCCAGAATATTAAGAGCTAATGTATGTGTTAATACATTCCCATAATGCTTGGGGCATATTATACATGTTTTACTGTGGTTAAATGGCATAGCCTTAATTTTGTAAATTGGCCTTAGGTGAGCAGAGGTGATCAAGTGAAATATCGTGATAGAAAATGAGATGTGGTGGAAAATAGTGATGTTTTATAATGTCAAATGTGAAAGGAAGAAGTGCTTGTAATAGTACTAACTTATGTGTAAGTGAAACTAACACCTCCTGTTTCTGCTTTTTGCCTTTTGTTTGTTAGGTTTTGTCCTCCGAGTTGAATATGTATGAATCACAGAGCCGAGAATACAAATATGAAATTGAAAGACTTGCCAATGAGCTTCTGAATGTGAAAAATAAATATCTGGCTCAGAAACGCAAGGAACAACGGGCCAAGTATGTGAAAATAACAGTTTTGTTTACACAGCTTTCTGCATAAACCAGATTTTTTTAGACCCTGCTTTAACCTTTTTATCAGAACGTGACCAAATTTGACTGAGGTGATATAATATTGTTACCTAATTTTCCTGAATGTTATCCTTCATATTACTTCTATCTGGTCTAGATTTACCATGATCTATCACCAGGACAAGAACATCCAGCAGAGGTGTTGCTGACATGTTCTGCAGTCCAGTTAAATTATTCATACCAATGAGATGGTGCTTGGAGGACGCAGATTAGTGTCTGGTCTCTCAGGTTGAATGAGAGAATCTCCAGCATTATGAGGACCTCAATACAATTTACAAGTTACAATTGTCATAAACAGCATCTTATATAGGGGACAACCTTTCTTCAGGCGGCAACTACATAATCCTGGTGTAAGAGCAGTGTTCCAAAATCTGTTAGTTGTGACTGATGACTGTCCCCTTCTGGTGGCAGATACCATTGCCGATGGTGGGATTCCCCACCCTCTTCTTGTTCCCTTCTGAGCAATGTTCAGAGTCTAGCTTTGTCAGATGTCTTACTATTTTGACAATAGAGCATAAGAACATTCCTGTAGGTAGTTGTTGTATCTCCTTAACCAACAGCAGTTTGATGACACCTCCCTGCTACCCTGAGTCCTCAACTGTGCATTCAGCTGCACCTCTTTGTTAAAAGAAAATTATTAGGATCTTAGTTGCCCAAGCTCTGGCCCATTAAAGTGTCCTGATTTGCAGAGGCTGAGAGATGAGACTATTCTGATAATGAATCTCCAGGCTGGGACACCAAAACTATTAGTCACTTCTGAAAGTGGAGTTATTTGATTTTCCTTTTAAAGGAGAAGTTTCTTAGATTTCTGCAGTCAGATATGATCTGTTACTGAGTTTTTCTGTGTATGCCTTTTGTCTTTCCACCCCTTTCCATCCTAAGCCTGTCCCTTCCTCACACACCAAAGCCAACAGTTCTCTACATTGCTGAATATAATTCAGAGCTGCCTGTATCTGTTTCTTGCTTAATCATATTTCAGCCAGCAAACAGTTCTGATGACTAAATTAGCAAAATAGTCAGTGATAAACAGTGACTCTTGTCCATCTGCAAATCACATAATGTTACCTTAATGTTTGGAATTAGCAGCAATTGTGCTGTGCTAATGGCCTTCCTGGAGCTTTAGGATCAATATATGAGGCTACCATAATGCTGATAATCCATTTCCAGCAGCTAAGTACCCTCTTCACAATGGTTTCAATGTTTCTATTTTGGACCATGGCATCATGTTTCTTTCTGTTCATCAGATGAGAAGAACTTCACACATGTTTTGTTATTATATTGTACCTAGAATTAATTCCTGTCATAACTATTGAAAAAATCCAAATTGTTAGGGGCATAACTGCTTTAAAGGAAAACAAAAAAAATGTGCGAGGTGATGGTGACTGAACTTGGGTCACACGCAGTGAATGGACTTTCATGGTGCAGGTCCATTATTGCTGGGGTCATTGCACTGTTTATAGGGTGCTTCTGCAGGACAGGAGCATCTCATTATTCCTACCTCAGGCTCAGAAGATACCAGCACTGTGCTGTCACTTCTGTGCTGTGACTTGCACTTCTCCTCTCTTAGTGGCAGCCCAGAGGTGGCCAGGTGCTGGGGTTGGGTCTCCTCTGTCCCTCAGTGTTTTGTTCCCCAGTCAGACCTGTTGGACACATCCTGCTTTGAAGGATATGCACACCCAAAGCATAACTGGGCATATCAGTCCTGGCTAACTGTAACTGTAGCTTCTGTAATCTCTAGACTGCGCTTTGTGTTGCCCAGCAGCAGTGCAAAGGAAACAACCTTGTGCAGCCTTTCTTCTCCAAACTGCCAATTGTGCATGACACATCATCTGCTTTCTGCTTTCTGTGCAGCCAGGTCCCTCCCCAAGGAGTCCTTCACCCATGACGTACAACCACACTCATGCTGGGCTGGATGGGCACTGCCTGGTGTGTAGATGCTGACCAAAGAGCCAGGGCCATTTGATTCTTACAATCTCAAGTTGCTCTGAATCCCAGCTGGTACAAAACCACTGACTTAATCTCTGTCCTGCCGGCTAATGTTAACAGCATGTCTGAAATAAATGTGGCTGGTTTTGCTAATAAAAAGAGGATCTTGTCAGGACAATAGCATTAATCGCATTATTGACTACCCTGGTATGAAAGAGAATTAATACTCCCAGATAACCTCACACAAAGGTATCATCTAAAGCTTTTATTGATTTGCACAAGACAGTTCTGGTTTGTGATTTAAAGTCTCAATACTGAACTAATGCAGCTTTCCGTGGGATGCTGAAGGAATATAATGAGTAACAACAGGAATTTAGCTTTGTTTTGTGTTCAAGCTGAAAATCCAATGTTTAAGATTTTGGTTGGGAATTTTAAATCCTCTCAGGTTCTGAATATTGTCTTTTCCCAATGTCTTAGGCATTCTTTTTCTCACTCTTCTCATTCTGTCCCTCTGCTTCTTGCATCTTTTCTGCTTCACTACTTCTCCTAGTTGCTTCTAGCACCAGGGTTCCAGTTTGATCTTTTATAAGGATCAGTGAGAAAACATGAAGCTTAAATCTACACCAGAGATCTGATCTTGCAGTCCTATCTATGTAAATAACTGCACTGATGGATGTCAGTAGTAACTGGGAGCTTTTGCACGTGGTTGCTTGCACATTAATTCTGCATAATATATTACAATATTCAGCTGCATAGAATTTTCCATACTGATGAGCACATCTGGTGGCTGTCTCCATGGGAGCATGGACTCTGGATCATTCTCTCCCCAAAGTTGGAAGCCCAGTAGTGAGATAGGACGAGCCATCTAAATGTAGAGTGTTATATTTTAGTGCTGTCAGCTGGCACACCCATTAGTGTTAAATTGCTATAATTAAAAAATTTATAAATTGTTTTCATGGTTAAGTTCATCTGTGCCATCTTTTGCCTATTCTCCCACCTCCATGTGGGTTAAATTTGGAAAAGGAAGCATAACTAGTCGTCCTACTGGGTTTCTCTGAATTTCCTCCTCTCCTGACACAGATATTTAGGGACAAAGAGAAAAGTATTAATTCCAGGAAATGTTCTCTTTTTCATTACTGGGCTCTGAGGATGGGTGCTAATCTGACAAGGCTAGATTTTGCAAAAGCCTGGTTGCACTCATGTTTGTGTCTCAGTCTTAGTGACTGTAAAATAAAAGTAATGGCAATGACCTTCTTTGTAAAGTCTTGAGACCTCTGCTGTTATGATAAACCATAAAGCTCCGCTTGGTTAATTTTAAATATCTCAGGACCTTTCTCTGAAACCTGCAGGTATATCACAGCGAGTTTGAAATACTGCCCTCTGTATTCATTCTGCTGTGCTCACCTCCCCAACCTCTTAGGAGTGGAACCAGCTAACTCTCCTTCCTTCCTCTTAAGGCCATCAAGTTCAAGCCCTCCTGGATCCTCAGATGGAGCAGCTTCCCAGGGCTATCAAAGCATCTACAACACACTTAGTTTTCTTGGGATGTAACAGGCAGGGCAATTATCACTAGAACTTTGTTAAAACATGAAGACAGATAACAGTATCTAGTCATTAAAATTCAACAAAGAAAAAATATCTCCCCATTGCGCCTTTGATGAATGTAGCTGTTTGTTTGAAAACAGGCGTATACTTGCTAGAATGGGTTGGTGATTAGAAATCTGAAGTCACAGAGCTCATGCAGAAACTTGCTTTAATGAGGTGCTCTGACCAGTTTGAGGAGTGGCAGGAAGAGAGCTCATTTATTTCTAATTTTTAATATTTCCAAAAGCCATCAGTAGGCTTGAAATTAGATCCAAACAGACACCTAGTCTTGGCAGTTTAGCTTAACAGGCTTTAATCAACAATTTTTAAATGATGTCTTGATACATGGTTGCATCAAAGAAATTTTGGAGGACGCAGATTTCCTTAGTTTGTAAACATCACTGGGCTGCAGAATGAAATATGTATTTTCCTTTTCTTTGTTTCTATTTAAAGGGAGAAGGAGCGATCCTTGACTGACGCAGAGCCTGAGTTTCCACGCCACAAGTCTGATGTTCCTCGCTTCACCGGGGGAGGCTTTGCTCTCAGCAGACCCCTTCCCAGAGTTACACCTCAGGAACGGACTGACGTCACCACATTCCCATTCCTAGTTTCTTTCTAAACTCTTTTTGTGCTGGGTTGTTTGGGAAACTGTAATTTTATAAGAAATTCAGAATCAACTTTCCCTCTGAAATCACTGTTTTGCCTTCAGGAAAAGGTATTTTTCAGTAGAATTAATGTAGTTTTAGTTTACAAACTGTGGACCAAATCTGCCCATATGGTGCCAGCAGAAGCCTGCACTGGTGTAACTGAACAGTGGAGACCATGCAGCTGTTTCTAAATACTGTGTCTCTATTTAGCACTGTAACACCACAAAATGCCTTAATATGTAGTTATTTCCCCTTTATCTACCTCTGTTGTAAGCACTCACTCCATTTATCTTCTGACTCAAAGCACCTGAAAGAAGTGAGAAAACAGAAGAGAAAAATTAATAGGCTGCACTTTCAAGCCCTACTGAGCAAATGCAAAATTAACAAGTCTTTACTTAGATGTACACGTGTAGCAGTTCTTTGTGCAGGTAGTATATAATAGGTTTATGCAGTGTTTGCTACAGTTGTTATTAAGAGCAAGGAAGTTTGTGGCCACAGTGCTGTTTACTCTGGTAGACACAAAGTGACATAATTATGTCTGTTCAACTGGGGAGACTGTACACACTGCCTGGGACATGCTGTTCTCCCACATAAATCCTTCCAAGCAATTCAAACTTGGATTCAAAACATGGCAAACTTTGCTCTTTAATTTCTAGACACTTGAGCATTTTTCTAACTTTCAGAAATTGTTTTTATAATACAGCAGGAGCCCTCCAACCTTCTCAGCCAAAAAAGATTTAATTACCATTCATTAACAAGTGAAATAACAAAGTCACGGCATGAGGTGCTGAAGTGTAGAAAACTTTCAAGCTGTAAAATAAAATGTTTTGAAACTGATTTGTACATGGTAGCTTTTTCCCAGCCTGGGGGATAAAAATACTTGTCCAAAGAGATATGCTGATAAATATTTCACATGCACAAAAAAACCCTTTGCAAAGATTTTGTTCTTTCCTTTGGTGGAATACATAATTAAATATTAAAGCTACTGTGGGAAACTTTTAATGGAAGTGTTTAATTCAAAGGAATCGAGTTAAATACGACAGGGATCTACTTTGCTTTTACATTGGGGACCAGAACACTTAGTCATCAGATCCATTGTGTTTTTCTTTTGTTACCAAAATAGCTATTATTGCTTTTTCTCTGTCAAGTGCATTATGCTAAAGTTATCATTTTAGGGCAGTCATGCTGTCTGAATCCTATCTTTTGCATACCTGATGTCCTTATAGTTCGAATAATTGAGGATAACTGACACGGGCACTTGAGTCTGATGGGCTCCCAAGTAGGTTTTACTGAAGCTTTTAAAAGCTGGCATTTGTTAAGGTCCTGAGTATCCAGCCTGAAGCTGGACTCTCCTATGCTTACTGATAGTGGGAAGTAATTCATACTGAAATAAATCATCAAACTCACGTTTATTAATTCACATGAATGAGAGAGGCACAGTTAGACTTCTAGAATACCATCACACTGTAGAGAAGCAACTTACTTGTTACTCTCTGAACTGAACAGCGTACCCTCTGAATTACCCAGAGGTAATCCAAGTCTGTGTACATCTTTCCCTCTGTTTGTTATCAGGGTTACAATGGTCCGAGCACAGGAAGGGGAGCCAAGCGGATGGAATCTGTTCCCTAATTGCATGTGTTTTTATGAATACACTAATAAAACAGATTCTTTTCCATCTTTAGATTTACTTACTAGTAGCTTACATTTCACAGATTGGACTATTTTTAGGGTAACAAGTTCCATCCCTGAGTGATTCTTGAGCTGAGTTTTCTACTCTCTAAAATGGGTGGGATAGTATTTGCCTAGTGACTTGCAAAGCTGTATTCACTTATGTCTAAAAAGTTATTAGTCTTCCAGATTTAAAAAAATAGAGAAGTGAAAAAAAATGTGATTTTCTCATACAACATGTTCTTCCAGTCTGAAGGGCTGGGAAGTGAGTGTAGTAAATTCCACCTACAAAGTACAGGAGCTTTTACTGTGTTCACCCCCGATTTCAGGCATCCAGATGTGAATGTGTTGGCTATTGTCTCCAGTTTTATTGCATTATTTACTTACTACTAGGGAAACTAAATTCACAAGTTAATTTAAGAAATAATAAGAAGAAAAAAAGGATAAGAAAATACAGTCATCAAATTATTGCCAGTAACTTTCAGCATAATCAGGAGTAGAATAACTGCAGCCAGCTTAATTTGTAGTGCCAGAGAGTCAAAACCATTTCTGAGTTCATATAATAGAACGGAATAAAGCACACCAAATCCCTTCCCCCAGTCTATAAAAGTCAGGGAGCTTGAAAAATTGCTCTGGATGCCTGTGAACCCAGCTGATGCTGAGGTGCTTTTAGTGTTCAAGGATTTGGCTTGCACAGCAGGAAAAGGCAGAGCGTTAATGAGAGCATCATTTGTTCAGTTGCTTCTGCATTGTGAGCCCCAGCTCTGAAGTGCTTCTCCAAGTTTTGTTGCAGAATAATGTTAATTGAATTCCAGTCTGTGCAAGATGGAAGCCTAGAACTAGCAAGCATATCTTTAACTTCTTGTTCCTGTAAAGATACGTGTAAAGATGGAGGCGAAGGGCTGTGATCCACGGCACTTAAGTTAGCAGAAATCTTTCTTCACTTTAATTGGTTCGGATTGGAGCTGTAGTAGCTTGCACAGTGAATCTATCCTGGGGCCTTTTTCAGTGAGCAAAGTATGCAATATTGCTCATTTTCAGAGCTCTTGCAGTACGTAGATAATATTTTAAGTAACTTCCCATCTACTTTAAGCTCTGATCTTGTCTGGCAGGTCTGTATTCAGCATATTGTACAAGCAGGACACAAACAAGACACTGTGCACTGAACTATCAAGTTCAAAGGCGGGAGCATGACCCTTTTGGGATCACCTGTCAGCTACCAAAGACGTGGCACATGAATCCAGTCCTTAATTTACACTCATTTTGTGAACTCAGAGCAGCAGGAGCACATACTACATGCCCAGTACAGTAACACGTCCTGTTGCTGTAAATCTGGGAACCCTTTGAGTCAACAGCAGCGAAAAACAGGTCACAGCTCAGGCTTTGTTGTGTTGAGAGCTACAAACTCCAAGGCAGGCTGGGGCAGCAGAAGGAAAGGGTGAGTACTTGGCACCCACAGAGGAGATCTTTTACCAGCACCACAGAGCAGAGGTTTTGCTGTGAGTGGAGCAGCAGGTGCTGGGCCCAGGGGCACTGGTGGACCTTAACAGCCCTGGTCAGCTCCACCTGGGTCCAGAGGCTCCACTGAACAAGCACCACCCTGCAGGTGAGCTTCTTGGGGTCTCCTGGCCTTTAGGGAGCAGCTGGCTCTTGCTGCACCCTGGCAGCAGGACATAAGAACAGCTTCAGTGCTACCTTCTAAATACTTTCAAAGAGCAAGATGTCACAGGACGGAGAGGAGTGGATTGTACGGGAAAGGGGACTCTAGGTGTTGAAAGCCCAGGTGAACAACAGGAGAGTTTCCCCTCTGGACTCTTGCAGATAAGAAGCTGCGATGAAGGTGCTCAGCTGTATATCCCAGAGCACTGCCTGCAGGTGGGTTGCCAGTAAGTCTGCAGTGCCAGGTCTCAGGCTGCTGTTTCACATCCTTGTGTTAAGGTGAAACTGTTGTGCCCTAAACAAGTTGCAAGAAAGAGCAGAGAGAAATAGAGTATTGATTTATTCTGTGTCCCCCATGTGAAGTTACCAGAGGGTAAAGTTAGCAGGAGAGTCAAAAAGAGAAGGCAGGCAGCAAAATGCATCTCTGAAGCATTAATAACTCTTCCTGAAAGTTGGCCCATCCCAACTATCTTTACCCAAATTAGAGTTGCTAAATCATGTACATTTGTATTTAGGCACTTTGGCAATTGAGTATTATTTTCCTAGCAGGTGGTTTAGCTGTTGTGCCATCTCATCTAGCAGTGTGTATTTTTAGTGTGTTTCTAAAAGCAGGAGCTTGATTTTGATGCTCTTTCTGTTCCCATACTTGGGTGCTTTTTAAGCAGACACACACACATCAGCTACTTATGCTGTTCAGCATACAGAAAGATGTCAGGATCTCATCCCATGGGCTTGTTTGAGAAGCCTCATTTTTGAAGGGGGAGGTGAAGCTGTGCCTGTGGCACACACGGGTGTGAGGGAGCAGAGCAAGATCCATAGGATGTGCTGCATGAGGCTGAGTTCAAAGCAGCCGTCTGCTGTCTTGCTCAGCCTTACCCTTCAGGTTGCTTTCTTCCTGAGTGGGAGAGTTTGTACGTTTATTGAACACATGTACTCTTTAATCCCTCTGCTGATCGTGGAGGGTTTATTTACCCTCTGGTATGGCATAGAGCCACCCAGACAAAACAGTGTGAGTAAGGCTGTGGGAATGCAGCTCTGGGGCTGGAACAGGCTCTAAACCCTCCAAGGTCCTCTCTGCCCTTGGCTGCCTCTCAGCTGGGAAGCACAGGCTGCTGGGCTTTCTCTCAGGGTTTGCTTTGCCTTCAGCAACCACGTCTGTGCAGGCGGCTGCAAGAGCGAGGCAGGTTGGAGGTGAAGCTGCGGTCTTGCCCTTGCTTCACCCTGATGTGAAGAGGCTGAGTATGAGTCTCCAAATATTGAGCAACTGTTGTAAAGTGACTACTGCCAGGGTAGGAGCTACACTGTGGGGATCTCTCCATGCAGCTCAGGAAGTGGGCGTCCTTCTGAGCCTTAACTGAGACTGCAGGCAGGATGACCAGGGGAAAAAGACATTGATTTTTAAGGTTAAAAAAAAAAGAGATGAGGGAATGACCATCACTTCTACAGAGATGGGTTTAACTTGGTTTTCAAGAGGAATTGGAAGTATCTTGTGCATCCAATAGCCCTTTCTCTACTTGCTGATGAGGCTCCTAATTTCTCCGCTGCCTTGCTGGCTTGTGTAGTGCTCATCTCTCCTGTAGTGCCTCCTCTGAGAGGGCAAACCAAATGTCTGAGTCATGGGCAAATTGTGGAACTGTTTCTTAAC